CGTGAGCCGCCGGCTTCCTCTGGCGTCCTCGCCGAACGCGGCCCCCTGCGGGGCACCGGCCGGCTTTCCTGTCCGAGCGGCCGAGCGGGGCTTTGCTTAAATCGAGCATGTCCCTCTACAGGAGGAAAGTCAAAAATAGTCAAAAATAGTCAGGGGACGACTTTTCTAGTATTATGTGATCTTTTTGAGCATTCTTTGACTATTTTGTTTTTTCGCCCCAAATCTGCCTGTTGGGGGACATGCCCGACCTAATCCGAGCGGCCGAGCGGGGCTTTGCCTCTGCACGTGAACGGCGCAAACAACCGGGTTCGTCTGCGCCGACATTGGCGCGTGAGCTGCCCGCGCAAGGCCGCGAGTAAGCCCCCTCGTTTCCGATGCAGCGTGCCGCGCCGGTGGCCCGCGTAAGCCACCGCGTAAGGTCGCTATGCCTCACGGCTGGGAAAACCATCCGGACCCGATAATTGGCGTTTACTGAACGGCCCTGGGCGTCTACTAAACAGCCCTGCCCTGTACGATTCCTTCTCCGGGTGCGTTTACTACACGGCTTCGCGTGCCGAAGTGGCTGTGACTAGTGTGGAATTTCTGCTCCCTAATGTCATCTCGCGTAAGACTCGTTTCTTTTTGTCGCTCACGCGGCTCCCCCGCAGGATGAGGAGGAGGAGGAGAAGGATGAGGAGGATGAGGAGGACGAGGTGGAGAAGGGGGAGGATGAGGAGGAGGAGGAGGGAGGAACGAGGCAAGGGGGGGGGGGGGAGGGGGGGGGGGGGGAGAGAGGAGGAAGAGGAGGAGGATGAGAGGAGGAGAGGGAGGAGGAGAGAGGAGGAGGTGGAAGGAAGGAGGGGAGGAGGAGGAGAAGGAGGAGGAGGAGAGGAAGGAGGAGGAGGAGGAGGAGAGGAGGAGAGGAGGAGAGTGGGAGGAGGGAGCAGGTCAGGAGCAAGCAGAGGAGGAGGAGGAAGGAAGTAGGAGGAGGAGGAGGAGGCAGGAGACGGAGTGTGTATATATGCTGTATAGCTATTAAGGAGTGAGCGAGATGGAAGCGGGGCGGCTTCGACCGCCCGCAGGCGCTGCGCGAGGAGTGCCACAGGCAGGAGGCCGCCGGCCACGAGGCCGCCCGCCGCCTTCGGCCGCCTCGGGGCCCAAGGGCGGGGGTCGGGGGCTGGGCTGGGGGCCTGGGCCAGCTGCAGCCAAGGACGACAAGGATGATGAGGATGATGATGACGATGATGATGATGAGGATGATGATGATGGTGATGATGATGAGGACGATTTTGATGATTATTATGATGATGATGATGCTGCTGCTGATGATGATGATGGTGATGATGATAATAATGGACATGATAATGACGATTCTGCTGCCGGTGCTGGTGATGGTGATTGACATGATGATGATGCTGCTGATGATGATGATGATGGCGATAATGACAATGACGATGATGATAAGGATAACGATGCTGATGATGATTACGATGAAGATGGTGGTGATTAGGATAAGGATGATGATTCTACTGATGATGATGATGCTGATGATGCTGATGATAATGATGATGACGAGCATGATGGTAATGACGATGATGATGCTGCTGATGATGATTATGGTGTTGGTTGATGATATTGGTAATGTTAATGATGACATACCGATGATGATGATGATGATGATGATGATGATGATGATGACTGTGATGACGATGGCGATGGAGATGATCGCGATGACGATGACGAGGATGATGATGAGGATACGGATGATGATGATGATGATGATGATGATGATGATGATGATGTTGATGATGTTGATGATGATGTTGATGATGCTGATGAGTTGTGGTGAGGATGACGGTGATGATGATGACGATGATGATGATGATGATGACGATGATGCTGATGATGATGATGATGATGATGATGATGATAAGTATGATGATTCTGATGATGCTGATTATGCTGATGATGATGCTGATGATGCTGCTGACGATGATGATGCTCCTGCTGCTGCTGCTGCTGATGCTGATGATGATTAGGATGGTGATGAGGATGGTGGTGATTAGGATGCTGATTCTGATGTTAATGATGATGATGATGCTGATGCTGATGATATTGATGATGATGATGTTGATGATGAACAGGAGGATGAGGATGAGGGGAAGAAGGAGGATGAGGATACAGATGAGGATGAGGTTGATGGTCGCTGCTGCTGATGATGATGATGATGATGATGACGACGATGATGATGATGATGATGATGATGATGATACTGCTGACAATGATGATGATGATGATGATGATGATGATGATGATGATGGCGGCGGTGGTGATGGTGATGATGATGCTGGTGCTGATTCTGCTTGTGATGGTGATGGTGATGGTGATTGCGATGATGATGGCGATGATGATGGGGATGCTGATGATGATGCTGATGATGATGATGATTACGATGACGGTGGTAGTGATTAGGATGAGGATGATGGCCATGCTGATAATGGTGAGGATGACGCGCATTATGATAATAACGATGCTGATGCGGATAATGATGGTTTTGTTGATGATGATGATAATGTTGATGATTCTGATGCCGATGATGCTTGTGATGATCCTGATGAATGATGATGATAATGATTGTGATGACGATGACGATGTAGATGAACACGATGACGATGATGTTGATGCTGCTGATGATGATGACGATGATGATGCTGCTGATGATGACGATGACGATGACGATCGCTGTGATTAGGATGCTGGTTTTGATGATCATAATGATGATTATGCTGATGGTGGTGGTGGTGATGCCGCCGCTGCCGATGATAATGATGATCATGATGATGACGATGACGATGACGATGCTGATGATGATGATGATGATGATGATGCTGATGCTGATTTTGATGATGATGCTGATGATGGTGATGGTGATGATGCTGCTGCTGCTAAGGATGATGATGATGATGATGGTGGTGGTGGTGGTGGTGATGATGAGGATGATGATGAGCCTGAGGATGATGCTTGTGATGATCCTGATGAATGATGATGATAATGATTGTGATGACGATGACGATGTAGATGAACACGATGACGATGATGCTGATGATGCTGATGATGATGCTGATGAGGATGATGATGATTACGATGACGGTGGTGGGGATTGGGATGAGGATGATGATGCTGATGATGATGATGATGATGATGATGATGATGACGAGCATTATGATAGTGATAATGATAATGATGCTGATGCTGATGATGACGATGATGATGATACTGATAATGTTGATGATGCTGATGCCGATGATGGTTGTGATGATCATGATGATGATAAAGCTTTTTGTGGCGATGACGATGAAGATGAACACGATGATGATGATGATGTTGATGATGATGATGCTGATGGTTACGATGACGATGCTGCTGCTGCTGATGATGATGATGATGATGACGATGGTTGTGATTCGGATGATGATGCTGATGATGATGATAATGATGATGATGATGATGATGATGATGATGATGATGATGATGATGCTGATGATGATGATGATGATGATGGTGGTGGTGGTGGTGATGCCGCCGCCGCCTATGATGATGATGATGATGATGATGATGATAATAATGATGATGCTGATGCTGATGTGATGATGCTGATAATGATGATGATGCTGATTGATGATGATGCTGATGATGGTGATTGTTATGATGATGCTGCTGCTGATGATGATGATGATGGTGGTGGTGGTGATGATGATGATGATGAGGATGAGGATGAGGATGAGGATGAGGATGAGGATGATGATGCTGATGATGGTGATGATGATGATGATGATGATGGTGGTGGTGGTGATGATGATGATGATGATGATGATGATGATGATGATGATGCTGATGATGACGATGAGGACGACGAGGATGAGGACGAGAACGAGGCTGATGAGGATGTTGATGATTTTTGTGGTGGTGGTGGTGGTGCTTTTGATGGTGAGGATGGGAAGGAGGCTCGTACTATTGCCGGGGCAATAAAACAGCGCTGGAGTTTTCCCTCCTTCCAGGCATCCAGGGCTCTTGCTGTCGAGCCGAAGGATCCGGCGGGGTCGACGGAGGTCTGGGAAGGAAGAGGCTTCCCTCCTCCTTCGCTCCTTCTCCCCGCCTCGACTACATGTAAGAGTGGCTCTTTTGCCGGAATGACCTTTTGGTGCGGGCCCACTGGGGTCTGGCGGCCGCTGACTTCGATGCGCTACCACCGGCTTGCCCGACTTGGTTTGGACCTCCCGCGCCTCCCTCAAACCGCGTACCAAAGGTCACTCTGCCCAGGGCCACTCCTGCGTATTACGGACCTTCTCACCCCTCCCGCATGCTTGCTCCCTTGCTCCTTATTCCTTTGTCCTCACTCCTCTGCGCGGGCGGCCTGGATCAGCTGCAGCCAAGGTGGTGGAGGAGCCGGGCAAAACCAGTGGAGAAATGAAAACTGGGTTGAACGGACGCATGTTCTTTTTATACACGAGTGCTTGGGTGAAGGAGGACGAGGAGGAGGAGAAGAGGAGGGGTTTGGGGCCCCAAGGCCGCCAAGGCAGCCCAAGAGGCCCCCAAAATAGCAAAGGGACGGTCCAGAGGAGCGATCTCAGGTCATGTGGGAAGTGTGTATCCCCAGGTGCGCTTCCGAGGCCTCTTGGAGACTCCACAAGTGTCCAGAAGCGCTTTGTGAGACCTGTGAATTTGGGGCCCGCACTCAATGTTGAGGACTATGGCGGACCTGGGGCCCGAATTCAATGGTGAGGACTCAGTGCTTGGGGCACAGTGGCGCATAGCATATCAACCATCACGCGCACGTGTTTGGCAACTTCTTCCCTGAAAGCTCTGCCCTCCGTCGCGAGTGCTTCTCGGACGAGCAACCGTTATTGGCGTCGCCACTCCGCTTTCTTATGTGTGCGTTCGTTTGGGTTCATTTTCCCTGTGCGTTTCAGGGCCCCTTGCATCCCTCCGCCACCCTTCCCACCGACGTAAGCCCGAAACAGGCGGACCAGAGGGTCGTCAACATGGCTGCAGAGCTGCAAGCGGCGCGTGAGGAGCTTGATAGGCTGCAGGACATGCGCGGCAGGGGCACCACTAGAACTCCCTCCAGTGATGCTTATGATCTTTCCAATCAGCCGTTCAACCATCGCCCAGTGCTCTTGAGCCGACAGCCCCTCAGTGTCGTCTTTCTCCTCCCCCCTTGTCCCTCTCCTCCTCCGCATCCTAATCTCTCTTCCTCCCTTTCCAACCACCCGTGAGGAGGGGGGAGGAGGGTGGAGTGGAAGAGGAGGAGGAGGAGATGAGTTTGGGATGCAGTTGGCTGGAGAAGTCGAAGGAGTAAGAGGAGGAAGAGGACTGTCGATCGTGAGCATGATGCTGTTGTTGTTGAATCTTCATTTCTAACGAGTAAGTATTATGGATCCCGTCTGCGCGGTAACACGTTTTTTTTTTTTTTTTTTTTTTTTTTGTTCTCTCCTTATTCTTCTTCTTATAATTATTTATTTTAAAAGGAGTGCTCCTCGCAGGGCTCGCACCGTGTTATTTACAAGAGAAGGTCTCGTGCGTCAGACTGGCCCCCTGGCCCCCAGTTTACAACAACAACAACAACAACAACGGCTCCCGCCGGATACTTGCTTACAGTGTTTTGGATAAATTGAGGTTTTGGCTAGAGACTTCCTCGCAAATTATCAACATATTGCGCTCTCGCCTGAAATCCCTCTACAACTAAGTCGCGAATCGCGCTCTCGGCGCTCTGGAATCGCGCTCTTGCCTGAGACTTCCTTGTCATCCCCTCTTGCTACTCCCTCGCGTCCTCCATCTCATCCCTTCCTCCCAATTGCCCCTTTCCCTCCTCCCTTCCTCCCTCCACTACCTTCCTCCTCGCTCGCTCTTTTGCCCATTCCTTCTACTCATCCTGTTTTAGAGCTGCGCCAACTACACGTGGCAGGGACGGAAGATGTGCCCCCCGAAGGGAGTACGGTCGAAAACGAGCAGGGCGGGTATTTTTTGGCTTGGGGCATGCATGTTGAACGACACGCGAGCAACGAAGAGCGAACAGGCTCACGATGATTAAATTCTTTCATTCCTAAAGCACAGCTCCTCTCGATGCCCACCGCAGGTGCCCATGGCGTTGCTCAGTTGAAGTGCCCCTCCCGGGGGCTTGCACCTGGCTTTTAGTGGGTCAAGTCTTTCGCCTCTGACTGGGTTGTTGGCCCCCGAACAACGGCTCCCGCCTGATACTTCGTTACCGTTTATTCAAAATCGCGCTCTTGCGCGGGACGTCTTCACCATCCCCCAAACAGTGCTTGCACTAAGGGCTTCTTCTTTGTTGCTGAGAGACCGGGCTGGTCTGTCGGTCTGGCGGCTATGTTGCCGCCGTCGCCGCTCTGCGCCGCCTCGTCTCCGCCCGTCGTCTGGGTCTGTCTGTCGGTCGCCGCGTTTGTTGCCGCCGTCGCCGCCCCGTCGATGCCCCACATCGATTTCACAACATCTATTATTCTCCTTTCTGACAAGGGCTCAGGATCTACCACCCCCCTGGGATTACCCCACCCCCCATGGGGATGTGCAGTGTACAATTAAGTTTGCCCCATCGTTTTTTGCAAAAATAAATACTTATCATCCCCGCCAGGCCGAGTTCGCCCCCCCCCCACCAACTTCCGCAAACAACATCATGCGCGCACATTCGTAGATCAAAGACCATTCATTTTCAATAATCCCTTGCAGCATTTGGGACGAGGTGCCGTTGCGCGCATGCCGAGGTCATTCAAGCACCTTCGGTTTCGAACGGATTTCGGAATCGAATGTCCTGGTTTTGCAACATCAGTTTTCAAAACAGAAATGTCTCCGCGCGCGCTCTTGCGAATCTTCAGGGAAACCATCGGTTTCACAACATGCTCATCACATGCGACCAAGCGGGCCTGTCGCGCGCGCATTTCGAAATCATTTGAACGCCCTTGCGCGCGTACTTGAGGGGCACGATACTTGTCAAATACTACATGCGCGACACTCTCGCCCGTCGTCCTCCATGATTGCGCGAACAGTGGAGTTGACGAACCAAAATTGAGATCACCACGTCGATTGCACACCACGTACATCGCACAACATCGACTGCACCACCTTGATTGCACCACATAAATTGTGTTACACTGATAGCACTTCGTAGATTTTAATCATGTATATGGTACAACATATATTGCACAACGTCGGTAGTACCATGTATATGGCACCAGTCCAGAGCATATATAGCCCCACAGATGATGTACAACGTATATTGTACATCGCAGATTGTACCACGCAGCATATATTGCAAACTTGAGTTCGCGTCGCGTATATTGTCCCACATCTATTGCGCAGCGTGTCTTGCACGACATATATAACACCACGTAGATGGCTGACCACGTAGTGTTCGATTTTATATTGCACATCGCGTCTTGCATCACATTGCTTGCATCACATGAATTGCATACCACGAAGAGTGCACAGACATATGATATATATATATAC